GATCGAAGCGTGGGATCGATGCTGTTCATGAGCCAAGAGAGCAAAAGAGAGTTGTTGGCTTGCCAATCTTCAAACAACTCATCGTCGGCAGACGGACGCTCGATCGAACCATCCAAAAATCCGAACTTCTTTCGTGCACGAAGAGCGGTGCAGATACTACGGGACCATTCTTCATAGTTGGTGTCTCCTTTTAATTGAATTTGAGTAATTAAGAGGCCGGGGTTGTCGCTGGAAGTAATATCATAGGGGGAGATTGTTTTTCTGGCAGTAACCTCACCTGAGCTTGTACTGGCCATGGCAGGAGAACAAGAGAAAAAAAAAATCGTAAAATTTAACCTGCTCTAGATACCATGACAAAGCAGAAAGAAGAAGAAATATTTTGAGTGAGACATCAAATCTGATCGTCTCTATACACAGCCCTCACATATATAAAGTCAATTAGGGTTACAAGAGAAATAAACTTCTTCTCCAAGAAACTAACTAAACAAGGGTACAAAAGGAAATATACACTAAGATCACATCAACACATTGCATTCGTACCTCCCTCTAAGGGCCGTGCATGAATTTTTTAGCCCTTCGTTTTGTTAAGCAAATTCTCCTTGGGCCCAGCTGAACCGTACCCTGCTAGCTTGGACCACCCAGACGTCCTCCAATGACCTTCAAAACGCCGGGAGGGGTCCCTGACGGAGTGTTTTCCATCGGAATCCCACATAGTGCATACTTGTCCCAAATAAAGGATTCAGTTCCCTCCTTCTGCACATCTCGGAGCCGAGGTTGCTCCTACATCCATAAGTCCATCCTGATAGGCATGGACACATCGAGATCGTTCCATGGGTCGTCCCTAGAATAACACCCTCTTGCTGGCCTATGGAAAGGTTAATCATGATCCTTGATACCGAGCTCTTGTTGTATCCCTCAGTCGAGATTACTGTCTTAGCAGCTGATAGGCCAAGCTCGGCCTATAACTTCTTCCCGCGAGCCACTCTATTCCGGGCTGTATCACGTTTAATGTGTAAATAGAAAGATTAAAAATTCATGTGGACACTGCCCTTAGGAGCTAGGTAACTTTTATCACACCCTCCATATATGAGCAAGGATTTATGAGAAATTGTATTTGGATTTTGGTGACGTACTTCCCTTGTTGGATGTCATAGTGTTTGCATCTTTCTTTGAAACGCCCTCGCAATTATCATTGATTGACTAAGATGTGTAATTAAAGTTGGGCCCATTATAAGGTTGCCCTTTTTCTTTTATCACTTTCATGTGTTTTGGGCATCCATAGGCCGAAAGTGGTCCAAATATGTCAAAAATATAATTTAATTATTTTATTTATATATATATATATATTATATTTGGAAACGCAATAGTGCTAGTTGAAAATAACCTTAATTAGTTTTTTCTATTTTTTATGTCATTATCAAGAATAAATCTCATACATACATCATTTTAGTTTTGTGGCTCAAACTCAAAACTTTATTGTTAAATATATACATTTGGGAATGACAAGTGCTCATTGAAAATTAAACCAAAAAAGTTTTTTTTTTTCTTTTTTTTTTTTTTTTT